CTTGGATAAAAAGGATCCCTTGCCTTCTTTTGCAAGGATCAAAATCTCTTGGGTTACCATCTCTTCAATGGAAAGATTCAGGACTCCAAACACTATAAATGAAGGGTTGATTGCTAGAAGCAATTGTAAAAGAAGTCTGAATCATCTCACATTCCCTACTCTACTTTTAACAAACATTGTATTACTTAGTTCTACTATGTAAACAAAAAAGAGATTAGAGAAAAATATTGTTGGTAAGGCTTTTGTATTAAAACAAAAAGAGTGAAACTAATCACTGAGTGTAATCTGTCTACACTAATCTCTGTACTCACACCAAGTTACAAAGGCTTGAAGAGAACACCCTTGCAACCCAAGGGGACTGGACGTAAGATCCACATTGGATCCCAACCAGTATAAAAACTTGTTGTGTCAAGTTTAATTTCCAATTTTTAATTATACTTCTTTGCTAGCTACAGTCGACTAAGAGACACCTTAAGTCGACTACTCAAGAAGAAAAATGAAAAAATAGCAATTCAACCCCCTCTTGCACTTTCAATTGGTACCAGAGCCTCGTCTCACAAAAATATGTCTAACAACATATGAGAAAAAGATCATGGCACAACAAATCATGGGCGCACTATTTCAAGAAGGAACTTCTCAAACAAGACCTCCCTACTTTAATGCGAACCACTTTTCTCATTGGAAAGTGAGAATGGAAACCTTCATAAAATCCTATGATGTGAAAGTTTGGAGAGCGATCAAGGTTGGTGACATTCCTATTCCTATCACGAAAAGTTCAGATGAAAGTTAATCCTCCACTATTCCAAGCTTGGAGAACTACACAAATGAACAAATGGAGATTATTCAAATAAACTCCAAAGCAAAAAAAGTTCTATATAATGCTATCAGTGGTGAGGAATATGAAAATATATCTTGATGTGACATTGCCAAAGAGATGTGGGATAATCTGGAAGTTATCTATGAAGGAACTAATAAAGTCAAAGAAACCATCATTAGCTTGCTAGTATATGAATACAAACTTTTTCAAATAAAGGAAGGAGAAACAATTGAGAGCATGTTTGCTCGACTGAGTAAGATCATTGGAGAACTAAAAGCTTTAGGAAAAATATATCCTCCCATAGAACATATACGAAGAGTTCTTTGAAGCTTGCGACCGCAATGGCACGCCAAAGTAGTTGCTCTTGAAAGCATGAATTCAAACACCCTAACCTATGATGAGGTGAGGGGAGATTTAATAGCTTTTGAGAAAACTCATCTTAACAAAAAAGGCCAAGAAGAATCCACAAATAAAATTATGGCGTTCAAAGTAAATCAGGAAGACAAAGGAGAATAAGAACTTGCAGAAGATGAAATTGCCTTAATTACTAGATCAGTAATGGATTCCTTCAAGAAATCGAGAAACCACAGAAGAGGAAGAAACTTCGGAAAGGTAAAGTATATCAATGATCAATCAAGAAATGATGGAAAATGTTATGAATGTGGAAAGCATGGTCACATAGCCAGTGAATATCCAGAAGCAATGAAAAACTACAGCAAAGGAAACCAAAAGAACAAAGCACTAAGCATCTGGAGTGATGAACACAACTCTGAAAATGAACATGAAGAAATTGGTAACATTTGCTTCATGGTTGTTGGAGAATCAAGCACAGAGGTATGTAATAAATGAAATAATTTTAAAAACTTGTTAGATTGTGCTGTGACAGACCTTAATAGAATTTTTTCTAACTTTCGAAATCTTCAAACTGAAAAAAGAAATTTAGAAATTGATAATGTGAACGCTATCAAAGATACTTCATCCAATACTAAGCATCAACAATCGTTCAGTAGTAATATAACCCAACTAGTGAGTTGGGGTCAAGTCCCAAGGGAGTGGTTCGTAATCGAGAATCAATAGGCAAGTAAGAATATGCTCTAGCCAATCATAGCTAAAAACATTTACGAATAAAAGCATGATTTAAATTATAGGTGACACAACTGTCAAATATCAAGGGGGTTTTGTATTATCAACTAAAACAGCAACTAACACAAAAATACGAACATAGAGACGGGATTCTTAGGATGTGATTGGATTATGGGCTAAAGTAAACAACCGGATAATTGCAATTAATAGTAAACAGCTGCAAATCAATGAATAAGCTAGACTTTAGTGGGGCTAAAGTTTCTCTCAAACAATTTACCCCGAATCAAATTGGTTTCTCTCGAACACGAATAAGCAGCAATGAAGCACAGCCTTCGCTTTAGTCCATTCACTCTCTTGAGTTGAATGTGTGGAAAAGGGTTTAGGGTTCACTCTCTCGAGCTGAACCCATGACAACCCAATACCCACAGACCATCGATTCAGTAATTTTTTGTTTTAAAACCTCTCTCTCGAGCAAGCCAAAAACACTAAGTTAAGATTGTATTTGCAACTACAACGCATTAAATTCAACCACAATTACTGAACGAAATCCTTTTAAATAGCAAATAAACTATCAATTAATAATACCCAGCAGTTAAATCAACCCATAATTACATAATCACATACCAAGAATTGGGGTTTTAGCTAGACATAGTAAAAAGGTAAAAATCGTTACCAAGTTGTGTTTCCATCAACTGGGTAGGAATGATATAGTCTTTACAAGGTCTAAGATGAAGAATTTTCAACACCCACTTCCAATTTCTTGGAAATGGAAATCTTCAAATCTTCAAAGCTAAGAAAATATTGTCTCTTTATTCAATTCTAAGCCCTAAACTTCAAAAACTGAATAATAATATGATTCCACACAAAATCAGATTCTAACCTAAAAATTTAAACAACTATTTATAGTTGTCAAAAAGTGTGCTACGGAGGTTCAATCAGCGCAGTTAGTCGGGATCGGCGATCCGCCCTTTGGTCATTTTCATCGCCGTTTTGCTTTTGCCTTCAGCATCTTCAGGTTCTGTAACTGTGGGCAATATGGCACTGCATCGCGGAACCGTTCGGTGACTCGTCGACTGCTTTTTTCTCTCGCCTACTAGATTTTCTCCTTCAAGGCTTGGCACTCTAGAGCATTAGGCGAGACCCTGGCCGTTCGGTGACTCGCCTAATGGGTTAGGCACTCCTCAGGCATTATTTCCTTCGTTCTTTCAGCTACCTTGTTCCTTTTTGCTCAATATTGTCCATGCTTTGTTCCTCAGTCCAAATACCTGAAATTCAAGGATTTACATCAGTTATTGGCACAAAATATGCATTTGAGGACACTAAATCTATTAAAATAAAGCCCTAAATGAGTCCAAATCGTGGACTCATCAACGCCCCCAACTTAAACTTTTGCTTCTCCTCAAGTAAACTCAAGTTCAGCAATTTAAAAAAGGATCAAATATGCACTCAAAGTTTCAAGTTGTGACTCACCATTATCAAAGAATCTCAAGCTCACAATACTTGCTTCAAATGCAAGTTCAAGTTCAATCTCAACAAAGGTACTGAAATGCCCTCATACAAAGAATGATTTCATATTCACACACAATGGTTCAACAATTTAAAGTTCCTGAATCAAATGCAACACTCACACTCACAAAGATGAACACAATGTATGATTTCACCTATAGGTTTGCCCGTATTTTCCAACCAACATTTGTTTCAACTTACTCAAGATCAAAAAGGTCTTTTTAAGGCTTGTAACGGGGCTGAGTGCAAAGGTATGGTCATTTAGGCTCAATGGCTATAGTCCTCATGAAATGTGGTGTGAATAACATTTCCTTCCCTTTTCTTCATCATTTTTCATTAGTGCTTACAAGTCATCCCATTATTCACTTTCCATGGACAATTGGAACCTCATTTCTTTTTGCATTTTCACAACTTTATTCCGCAACTTTTTCTTTATTTTTCTTTTCTTCTTTTTCATTTTTTTTTTGTATGGAGGGGTTCCATTTTTCTCAAAACATGGGTAAAAGGGGACTTTCTTGCACTCTTTGATTTACCTTCTCTTTTCACCATACCCCCAACTTAGGCTTTTGGCCTAAGTTGGTTATTCAAACAAATCATGAGGATTATAGGTATTGGATCAAGAAAGGTTAACTTTTCATCAAGTTTCTTCCAAGAAAAGGTTAAGGCTCAAAGGATGCTCAAAAGGAGTTCACACACTCACAAGGTAGGACACAAAAGAGGTATAATGTCAAATTGTTTCACACTCTTTAAAGTTTCCTAAGATCATATCAAGCGATTGCATCAATTAGTCAACCGGACCAACGAGGCAAATTCTAGGTGACATCACACATGGTTCACGGTAAGCTCATCACACACGGCATTAACACCAAAGTCAAACAAGACTCCACACTTTTTCTAGTGTGCAAAGTTCATCACAAGAGACTCAATTCGATACTTGGCTAGTCACAATGAGATGCAAAGAATTCACATATAGTCTATGCAACTTCATTTGGCCTCATCGTAGCCGCACATTCACTTTTGTTCAATTATGAGCACTATTCAAGTCATCCGTATTGATGAAAACTGATACTCAAATTTGCAAAAGAACAGCCATATTCAACACAAACAAGAGGTTGCAAAAAAAATTCAGAAGGGTCAAAAATCATTTACATTTAAAACAAGGAGCCACAAGCTCAACCATCCACAAAAATAGTGTAAAAACACAATTATAGCTCAAAAACCCAAATATATAAACAAAACATCAATATTCACAAAAATTCACCCAAAAGGTGGGTCTCACCCCACCACAAATAAAGTCATTTGCCCTCAAATGGAAACAAAAAATATCCAAAAGTTAAAATAAAGAAATACAAAGAGGGAGGTAAAGAGGGGGTCATGTCTACACAGTCGCTCTATCTGTTTGGGCATCAATGCCTGGTGAATCAGTCTGGACTCGGGCATCAGTACCCGGAGTCACCTTAGAAGGAACAATAGTACCAAACCCACTAGAAGCTGCCATAGAAGTCTTGGTCAGTGATGTCTCGATCACCGACTACATGATCGTCTTCTCAAGATCCGGCAAGTCTCCATATATGCTCTCCTCCAGTATCTCTATCTACTCCTCGTCGGTCTCAGCATCCGACTCATCAACTGCTTCCTCATCCCTATTTACATCTCTGGTGGTAGCCGAAGGAATCTCTGAAGTCTCAGGAGCGTCCAAATCATCTGCAGCCTCCAGTAATGAAGTGAAGTCGGTAGACTTTAGATAGTCTACGTCCTTCCTCAAGTTTGCTACCTTGGCTTTAAAAGCTGTAACCTCGGAGGTCTCCCCCTGCCTGCTCTCACAAGCCTTGACTCTCGTGGTGAGAGTGTCAATGGAAGTTTGAAGGGGGGTCAGTGCAGCTAAAATGAAAGCCTCAATCATAAGAGGGACATCTCTCTCAAGTATGGTAGCCCTCACATCAGCTGAATGGGCTAGATACCCCATCTTTAGGATATCACCTGAGTATTCTTGGTCTGCTGGGAGGAAGTGGATGTGCCTGGAGCATGTGAAGAAGAGGTAGGGGCAGTAGTACCTGAAGGCCCAGAGGATGGAGTAGGTAAAGATTCCTCTGCAGGTATAGAATTAACATCAACCTCCGGAGAAGTATCTGTTGGATCTGCTCTCATCCTATCAGCCGTCTCACGAGTATACTCTACCTCAATGCGCCAGATGTCAGCGGAGGAAGATGGGGTAACCTCAATATCTCTCGTATCATCCTGGGACACTCCAGCACGCCGACATAATTCAGTGATCAACACTGGGAATGGAAAGGAGGTCTGTCTCTACTTAGCCCTCATGGCCATCTCCTGTTCAATAAGGAGTCCCATGTCGATACTCCTCCGGGATATGATAGACCCAAGGCATGCTGCCTTAGGATGGCGGAGGACAGACTCGTTCTGGGATGGCATAATGGTGATGTTGATAAAGCTAGACCAAAATCGGGCAGCAACACTCAAATCCCTCATCTCAATAGAGGCTCCCGCCTCGATCCACCTCGAGGTGGTATCGAAAATCAAAGGTGCCAACCATCCCTTCAAATCATCTAAGGACTAAGCAACATGCAATCCATCATAAGGGTGCGTAGAGTTCAGAGCTATACCCAGTATAGTGTTTATGTACTCACTATTGCACCCAACTTCCTTTCCCCGTACTATGACAGACTTCACCGGTCTGAACTCGCTCGCCTTTTTCTTTCTTTTTGAGACCAAGTCACCATAGGCTCTATAGAACTCCCGGACCCATGAAGGAATTTAAGGGCCTCGGGGCCTGGTAAACTGATCAAACCTATGGTAGTGGAGGGTGTCCCTCACAACTGTGTACTTGCCTTCAAGGCCTTCTGTCGAGAGAAACTTCTCCTCTAAGACGGTTTGCAAACCATCACCTTTTAACCGGTTCAGAATCTTGGGAGGAGGAAGACAGGTGGCACAGGAGTCACCGGAGGTGTCGGAGCTGGTACTGAGTCTGCTGATATCAAAACTGGAGGAACTCTAGCTGAGTCAGGGCGAGGTCTGGCTCGGAGCTTAGACCGTCAGGAATGTAGAGGATGGTCATCATCAGGCTCAGATAAAGTTGCCTGGGAACTAGTAGTCACCCTATCAGATATGGGCCTCTTGCCCTTGTCTTTGTCACTTGGCGAAAGCTCTTGTCTGCCCTTCTTTGGAGGATTTGATCCCCTGTCATTTATAGTGATACCGCGTACTCTTTTCTGGGGTGGCATGTCCATATTTGTTTGTACCATATTTGCAAAACATCAGGAAAAAGTTAGAAACAACTCAATCAAATTCATAGAAAAACAATTGCAGACAAACTCAGCGAACTAGTTGGCGGGTCGCCGAATCACTTTGGCGAGATAGATCGGGCTCCCCGAAAGGATTGGCTTTAAAATTTTGGTAAGTCGGCGATGGGAAAGGCCTATTGGCGAATCTCCGACAGCTTTCGGTGAGCAAGGGCTATCCCACTGAAAGTTACAGTGCAAAAAAGGTTCAGAGGTGAAGACAAAAGGCGATCAAGAAGTCTTTTGGCGAGTTGTCGAGTGCCTTCGGCGACCTCATGCTTCTCATAGAAAGTTATAGAGCCCAACAAAACATTAAGCATGAAATTAAAGGCGAGATAGGGAACTTCGGCGAACCGCTGAGTGGTTCGGCGAGCTCGACCCAGCTCGCCAAATGACCTAATGTTCCTACCTTCAACCCAACTTCACGAATTCAACCCCACAACCCCCCGAAAACAAAATCAAAGCATACACTAGTCAAATTAAAGTAAGACCCATAACATCCATTACCTCGGGATACTCAGAGTTCTCCTGGTTTTGCCAAATTTGGCTAATTTATTACTTTTTCCCTTATGAATGACGTCACTCACTATATCATTGGGTAATTTACGTCTTTTGGCAAAAATACGGGCTACTCAGACTTCACCCAACTAACTTAAACAACATGCAAGCACAACCCCATAAATTTTAATTCATTTTAAGGCACAAAATTACGGAAATTCGATAATATAAACATTACGGGAAAGATTAACAATTTAAAACAGGTTTTCAAACATTCTAATCCTATCAGAGAGGCCCAGCACACGACAACAAGATAATATTATGGCAGATGAGTACAACTTCGATAAAAATAAACTTGGGGTTTGGAAAACTAACATTTTATGCTGATTAAATTGATATTGAAATGCTAGGTTGTAACGTATTCCCAATCCCGAGCACAAATCAATAACTAAAATACTTCTAGAAATGCGAAAATATATAAACTAAGGTGTGGGTGTGAGTTTGTGAAGATTTAAAGTGAGGGAAAGTGAAGAGTTTGAAAATTTAAACCTTTGGCCTTATAAAAACCGTCCAGTTCTAGCCCATTTGGCGATATTAGTTGTGCTTGCTGAACCACTCGGCGACACGCCGAGTCGTCACTTACCTCACCAAATTTTACAAGACTTCAGTTATTTAGAGGGTCCAAATGGTGGATTAGATCAGGATCACCGACCAGGTCGGTGATTCGCCCAAGTTGCTCTTAGGCTCGCCGAGTTTTACAGACTCCAATTTAAAATTGTCTTGAGTCCAACGGCGGTCCAAGTCAGGCTCACCAACCTCTTCAGTAATGCGCCGACTGGACTATTGGATCGCCAACTTGCACTTTTTAAACACCTTCCTACACTTTAATCTGCACAATCAACACACCATTATTTCTAAAATAAAAATAAAGCGATAAACAATTGGGTTGCCTCCCAAGAAGCGCCTTGGTTAACGTCGTGGCACAACGCAAGTGAACACTTAAACCTCATTTTTGGGGTTAGCCATAGTATCACTAGGCAACTCCCCTTTTTGTCGAGGGTAGAGATTAGATAGCACATGACCCATAAGGTTCTTAAGCAGCTGGATTGATCTGGAATGAGAGCCAATCATCTGATTTAGCACTTCGACATTCTTTTTCATCTCTTCCAGCACTCTATCATGCTCATTGACCTTTTGGAAAATGATTGAGAGCATTCCTTTGACACGTCTACCATCATCGTCCTTAGGCCTTCTTCGCTCATGAGGAGTGATGTATCTGTCCTTCCTTTTGCATTGGACTTCAATCTCCATTATCTTCTTGGTCAAATCATTTAGCTGATTTATCTATAAAGGAACTGATAAAGTCAAAGAAACCATCATCATATTGCTAGTTTATGAATACAAACTTTTTCAAATGAAGGTAAGAGAAACAATTGAGAGCATATTTGCTCAACTGAGTAAGATCATTGGAGAACTAAAAGCTTCAGGAAAAATATATCCTCCTATAGAACATATACGAAGAGTTCTTCGAGGCTTGCTACCACAATGGCACGCAAAAGTAGTTGTTGTTGAAAGCATGAATTTAAACACCCTAACCTATGATGAGGTGAGGGGAGATTTAATAGCTTTTGAGAAAACTCATCTTAACCAAAAAGTCCAAGAAGAATCCAAAAAGAAAATTGTGGCGTTCAAAGCAAATCAGGAAGACAAAGGAGAAGAAGAACTAGCAGAAGATGAAATTGCCTTAATTACTAGATCTGTGATGGATTCCTTCAGGAAATCTAGAAACAGCAGAAGAGTAAGAAACTTCGGAAAGGTAAAGTATATCAATGATCAATCAAGAAATGATGGAAAACGTTATAAATGTTGAAAGTATGGTCACATAGCCAGTGAATGTCCAGAAGCAAAGAAAACTACTCCAGAGGAAACCAAAAGAACAAAGCACTAAGCAGCTGGAGTGATGAAGACAACTCTGAAAATGAACATGAAGAAATTGGTAACATTTGCTTCATGGCTGTTGGAGAATCAAGCACAGAGGTATGTAATAATTGTAATGATTTAAAAAACTTGTTAGATCGTGCTGTGACAGACATTAATAGAATTTTTTCCGACTTTCAAAATCTTCAAACTGAAAAAAGGAAATTGGAAATTGATAATGTGAACGCTATCAAAGATACTTCATCAAATACTAAGCATCAACGATCGTTCAGTAGTAATATAACCCAACTAGTGAGTTGGGGTCGAGTCCCAAGGGAGTGGTTCGTAATCGAGAATCAATAGGCAAGTAAGAATATGCTTTAGTCAATCATAGCTAAACACATTTACGAATAAAGGCATGATTTAAATTATAGGTGACACAAGTGTCAAATATCAAGGGGGTTTTGTATTATCAACTAAAACAGCAACTAACACGAAAATACGAATATAGCGGGATTCTTGGGATGTGATTGGATTATGGGCTAAGGTAAACAACCGGGTAATTGTAATTAACAGTAAACAACTGCAAATTAGTGAATAAGCTAGACTTTAGTGGGGGTAAACTTTAGCTCGAACAATTTACCCCGAATCAAATTGGTTTCTCTCGAACACCAATAAGCAGCAATGAAGCACAGCCTTCGTCTCGAGCTGAATGTGTGGAATAGGGTTTAGGGTTCACTCTCTTGAGCTAAACCCATGACAACCCACTACCCACAGACCATCGATTTAGTAATTTAGATTTTAAAACCTCTCTCTCGAGCAAGCCAAAACACGAAGTTAAGATTGTATTTGCCACTACAACCCATTAAATTCAACTACAATTACTAAACGAACTCACTTTTCAACAGTAAATAAACTATCAATTAACAATACTGATGCTTATCGTGACCAATGACACTAACCTACGGTACGGTGTCTACGATCATAGATAATATAGTAATCCAACCAAGGGTTGGGGTCGTGTACCAAGGGAGTGTAAGTGAAAATAGTAATTAATTAGAATTTCATTTTAATTAGTCGTAGCTAAAGAGATTTGCGAATAAAAACATTTTAAATTTGGGGGGTGACACGAAAGTGTCAAATATCAAAAGAGGGGTTTTGTCACAGGTAATAAAAACAACAAAAATAACAAGAAAATCAAGTATGGGAAAAGTTCTTGGAGTTTCACCGCAATACAAGTTGAGATAAAAAGTTG